CCGCATGGTGTGGTGGTGAACGTGTTACTTGCCGGAAAGAACAATAGCGCGTTCGTTCCCCACCATAGACACCTGCGGTCCAGTTTTGCAAATCTCAGCAACGTTGTGGTTATCTTCTCAAAGATGACACAGATCGGAGGTTTTATTTCACAAATTCCGCTGTTATCTTAAGTTTTACACAGAAACGGATCATCGCCTCCTTCATATAAGAATTTTTTCCTTCACAGAAAGGATATAATGCAGCAAAATTCAAGATAATGCCTCCGAAACCATTAAAAATTGGGTTTATTCGGATCTATAGCCCATATTTGGCAAGATACCTTATCGGCAAAACTGATGAAGAATATAGTCTTTCTGCTCATCTAATACATTCACGATAAAGCTAAAAAGGTCGTGAATTTAAAAGTTATAAGAGACATCCACCCCAGATGTTCAATAGCTGACGCTGCAACTGAAGAGGTTGTGGAGAACATCCGCAACATACGTCAATAGTTCACCAATCATTAGACCCAAATTTCCCGTCAGATGTTCCGACATAACAACAGCCACATTCACATGGGCAATGGAGAAAAAAACCTCATCCGAGACTCGTGTTCCGATCTCTTCCATAGCCACTTTCAACTCTTTCTGTACTAGGCCCATAGAGTTGGATATGTCATCCCAAAGGTTCCTATATCCATTTTGCCCGTGAAAAACTATACACCACCCAATCCGAGAGGTCTAGACTTACATAGCAGGAATAGTTTAGACTTGTAGTCAGTCCTCAGCAACATAATGACGAGTTATCCTTCCTTAACGTATACTTTGGACACTGATGCTATGTGTGTAGAATGAAACAGAGCTCAGCAACATTAGATACACTTTCGACAAAAACGAGTGGTAGCCTTGAAAGTGTCTTCTTAAGTCAGTCGACATTGCACAGAAGTGTAGTGCTTGCTTAACTTCTTAGAAGAGAATAAATAAACAAATAAAGAATACAACCACAACGATGCCAAGATATTCGCGAAACTTGAACCTTGGGCCAGATCGAACGACGATTACCTTTTCCGGGAGTTCGTGTATTACACACTGCACCATTGAGGCCCTTGCTTTGTGTCTCTCTCAGCTAGTTTTCTACCTAACGATGCTATCAATAAATAATGTCGAGAGGACCTTTTCTTCTTCAAACTTTTAAAGAATTCGATCCACTAAGCGGACTACGGTCATCTTAGGATGAAAAGAAAACCGCAACCTGGAGTATAGCAGACAGAATTCAAACGATGGCGCACGAAAATAAAGTATTTTGAGAACTAATGATAATGGCAAAAAAGTCGTCAACTACTTTGGTATTCTTTAAAATCACGAACAGAGAACTCAAAGAAAAATTACCGCGACGTTCCTATCACTTCTTTAAAAATCAATTAAACTAATAACTGATCAATTTTCGAACGCTTGCAAATGTCTCATTGGATCATAATGTAGTTAAGTTTTATTTACTGCCTATGGCAAGGCATGATTTGAAATACAATTGAAATGAGGTTGAGATATTTGCAAAACTTCGGACAGCAGGTGTCTGCGGTGGAGAGCGAACACTCTGTTACCCTTTCCGGGAGCTAACGCGTTCACCACCACACCATGCGGGTCCTTCGTTTCGCCTGTCTCTCAGCTCTGTCCTGTTGGATGGTTCATGGTAAACTTCACAGGAAAAAGAAGCCACTGCGATGCTTTCTTTCCTTTCAAATTCACAGCATCTTAGAACTGAGATTTCTAAATACTTGTGATTCTTGACAAATCCAGAACTAGAACTAATGAAAACCACTGATTTGTCAACGTTGTTGTTTTAAGCTCAAATTAACGATACAGTCATAATTTGCCTAGAAAACCCATAAGGAAAACAAGTGTAACGAAAGAAATCCGGATGAAAATTTGCACTCACACGATTGAAAGCCTCGAGGAACTCTTCAGAACAAACAAATTGTTCGTGCTGCTGACGAAGAAAGGAGTCGACATAGGGCAGAATACTGGAGAAAAGCCGAGGATCAGGAAATCCAGAACCCGTTGCCTTCAAAGAGGCACCGACCTGTACCGTTTTCTTAAGTACGATTGCAAACCACGAACTACATTCAGTACTGGAGCTAATAAAAGCAAAAGACACGATGAGACCGACCAGCCTCGAAAATCTTGGCCTTTCTCGATTATAGAAAATATCAACAACGAAGTACCTCTTGTCGTATTTTATGCGGGATAAAGTTGAAGCAACATGTGGAAGTGCGAAGGGATATGTACTTCTGGTAAATAGACCGCGCCAAATCAGCTGTTTGTACGTTTCGTTGCGCAGACATTCGATCGTATGCGAGCAGAGCGAAGTGCAACTCCAGTGGCTATAAACAGTACTGCTGTTCAAAGGCTGTTAAAAGGTTATAGCAGCTTTTACCTGAGGATTAGAGTTCGCGACCAGCCAGTCTCGAAAGGCGTCCAGAGCTGTTCGATCCGAAAGCACATATTCAAGTCGAAGTGTCCATCGCATATAAGGTCGATCCCACTCAGACGGCATTCCTTTGAATAACTCAGCATTAAGCAATGAATAAGGCATACATTCTAAGCAGAACGTTACACATTAGCAACAGAAACCTTTAGAACTGTAAAGTGTGGCAAAAATGAGTAGTGACTAAGGATCAACTACACTGTATGATAAACGACATTTAAGTAAGAGTTGCTAGTAAGTAGTAGAACTTTGGTCGATCAAAGCCAGTTAACGAAATGCAATAGATCGCTTTCGTTTTACGAACAGCAGACTCATACAGTCATCTGGGATGAATACTTACTTTAAACGGATAGAACCAACATACACATTCATTGGAAAACTGGAACCACTAAGAACATTGAACATCATTGATTTGGCAATGAAGAGAAACTAGCCTTGAACGGGACTGGAGAAGCATAGAACCTATACCGCCACTGATGGGCAAACTCAGACCCGCTTCGAATTACACCTGAAGGATTCTGAATCGGAACTTAACACTGGGTCGACGCAGTAGCGAATTTTACCATCGCTGCTAGATCGCATCCATAACTCACACAAAGTAGGTTGGCCCAAATTCACCTTGTCATGCACCTTTGCGAAGAACTTTGACTAATCATTACGCCATTCGCAAAGTAATATCGCACTTGTATTTTCATGTTTCTTTCATGTTTTCGACGGGGAGCGTGCAGCACAATGGCTAAATGTACCCTGCACTAGACATGCGTTCGATCCCGCACCCATGGCCCACCAAGCTTTCCATTCCTCCGGAATCGGTAAATTGGTACCAGACTTGTCTGGCAGTATAGCAACACTGGCTCGATACATCGGTAGGCCACCGTGAGTCATCGTGTAGCCCAGATACAGATTCAATCACCTCCAATGATGCTTAATAAAGTCGAATGGATGGCGCATCCTTCAGGGATTGATCATCATCATCACCAAGAGCTTTGCCCTTTATTTACGCTTTTAACAATAGCTTGTTTTCGAATTATGAAGTCCAATGAAGTCAAATTATTTATTATACATTATTATAAAGCTCGCTTTATTCATTTTCGCTCTGTATTGCTGAGCAGTGATACAGAACGTGTCCTCCAAACATTCCAAACCTTAAAAATTGAGATTTCAAAACAGCAATTTCAAGAAACTCAAACTCCCACGTAGTACGGCCAAACGGGTCGTAACATTGATGAGCTACGGCTCGAGGAATTGTCAACGAACGCGCGGTGTAACGTTGGTTTTGATGATTTCATTGCAAAATCGACCTTCAAGACGAGTGAGATCGCGGACGTCCTTTCACCAATGACGATAATGAATTCATTGCCTTCGCGTAGGTAAATACAAGCAGAGGTGCTCGAGAGGTTGCAGAAGGACTCTGCGCAGGCATTCCCACTATCTTGATGCATTTCAAATGATAGGAAAATCGAAGGATTTCAAATGGATGTCACACGGATAGAATGACAATCAAAGAAATCGCCTGTTTGTGGTACCGTCGGCGCTTCTGCGCAACCAGAAAGGCCTGCTGATGCACCGAATTGTGAAGTGTGGCAGTAAGAGGATCCTCGACGAGAACTGAGAATAATCAACTCATTAGCTCGATCACGAAGAAAGTCCACAGCACTTTCCAAAGCTGAAATTGTACGGTAAGATGGCCGCGCTAAACGTCGGTGATCCACAGCTGGTCTGATCCATCATGGCTCTCTGAACCTGGATTATTGACGGGAAAGTTTGCCCAACAGACCGGACAAATGCACCAGAAATCAACGGAAGCACCACCCAATTAGTGAACGAAAAAAGACCGATCATTCTCCATGATAACGTGCGGCCACACGTCGCACTACTGATGCTGCAGAAGTTGAACACGCTGGGCTACGAAACTTTGTCTCATCTACCATATTCGCCAGACCTCTCGCCTACCGACTACCAGTTCTCAATGCACCTCGATAACTATGTGTGCTAGAATTGCTTCAGAAAGCAAGACGAGGTCGACACTGCTTCCAATGGCTTCATCGTCTGCAAAAGTCTAGCGTTTCCCGTTGGAAAAAAGTGCGTGGATTCAACCACATTTATTACGATCCATAAAGTTTAATGTGAACTGAGATGTGCCACTTAAGAATTCAAGTTTAAACCTATCATGGATTTCCGGATAACCAAATATTTACAGTTAAAATAGGCATAGTGCTGGACAAACAAGAGGAGGCCCACAGTTCAAAAACATCGTCCGTTCTTGTTTGTGTTGATCGTAATGAAGAAATTCGAAGAATCACTTGCTCGTGACGAAATTCTGCTTTGTTCCCGATGAAGAAGAACTGAATGTTTACGGGCGAAAGGCGAAACGAAAGACTCACATGGCGTGGTGGCGAACGCGTTAACCCCGGAAAAGGTAATAGAGTGTTCGCTCTCTACCATAGACAACAGCGGTCCAGAGTTTTCCAAACATCTGAGCACCAATACGGTAACAAATGTTTACAGCACATCAGAGATAACATCACGAAACACACATCTGGAAACTTTACTATGAACTTCAATGCATACGACGCCGTATCGCAAGGATGGTAAAGGGTGGGAGTGTTTGAGGTAGCTGATGATGATCCAGGAGTAGAATGCGGTTTTCATCTTGGGACAAAACAAACCCTTTACCGGAACGCTGTCGGTCTACTGGCAAAAAAGGGACAGCTTAGAAAGAAATAATGCTTTTTTTTTATTCCACAGCGCTTATTTGAGATCGCAATCATTGCGACAGAAGGGACAAAGGTCTGGGAAATCGGCATCACGAAAGTCTGTCCACTAATAGGACGCTTACTTATTAATAAAATACAGTTACAAATAATGGATGGTTCACATTTGTAGAGCTGACGTTTATTGAAATAGTGTCCTAAAACCAAATGAGAATAACAGCTTCAAGGAAAATGTTTGGAACCGAGTTCAGGTCTGCGTATTTATCCCTCCGCCATCCAGAAACGATATCCTTACTAATCCTCACACCAGCTTACAGTACGAATTAGTTAGCCTTGTGACGACAATTCCAGTTTCGAGTCAATAAATAACCAATTTCCGACGTTGACCTTCCTGGAAAAGTACGTCTGTCACACCATATCGAGAAAACAGATAGAAATCTGGATTTCACAATGATTTAGAGTAGGGTTATGAAGAAGCTCGCACTCTAAACTTTGCAGAAAATATTATACCAGCTGATCGACCTCTTAACCACTTACAGCAGAGGTGACCTCGACCCCTTTCACTTACCGACAGAGTGCTATGCACCCGAATGGAACCTTCTCACTTCGCCCTCTCACCCCATTGAATTGCTTCCCCGGATGGAAGTATGGAAATATGGACAACCGGCTGGAACAAGAGAAACGAAGGTAACTTCGTTACTTCTAACTATGACGTTTGACTGAGATGGGGCGCTTGTTCACCGAAAATAAACAAGCAAATCGCACAAAATACGAAGTCCTTCAAAGTTGATGTGGAAAGTGAGCAGGAGAAGCAAAGAACTCATCCTAAACACAACCTTACCGGACGACCTGGCTTTTGAAACTACCTAGAACAGATTTAACTGAACGGTTAGACCAGTTTGGCGACAAGGGATGTCGAATCGCACTTCATAAAATAATACAGTTATCAAATATGGGCAACACTATGATTTCAGCATTCAACCAGCAAACAACTACGTAGTAACACGAAATGTGGAACGAAAGTCCAGAACAGAAAACCACGAAATGGGTCCGACGGATAACAGCCTAATGATAGCCGCGCGCGGCGCCGCGCGGCAGTCTTTGAAGTCGCCGCCGCCGCTGCGCTGACGCGACGCACCCGCTTCAAAGGCTCGCCGACGTGGGCGGCGGCGGCAGATGAAAAGGGGTGCGGGCGGGCCGAAAACTTTCATTGGCACCGTCGTATGGAGTTGAACAACAGCTGTAGATCGCCTAACGATCCTCTATCAACAAGACAGCGGTTCGGAGCGCTGCCGGGGACTAGTGGTCCCGCATTACGATGATCTACGAGGACCAGTTGGAATGTTCTGCAAAATTTCTTCCTTAACGGACACATTTAGTTGTGAACTTCTATACCCTCTGGCTTCAGAATGCTTACGATATGCCTGAAGCTGAGGCTGAGACTAAAAAGCTTAGAAAACATCGGAAGTTGTAGCTTCCCATAAATCCTGGCCTCATTAATAGGGAACCGTCCATCCCTGCAATGAGTTTCAACTGACAATAGTTTGAACACTCCTACGTACGTTTTGCTGGCTGCAGAACGTATGTCATCAGAAGCACACGAGTTGCATTTTTCTACAGTAATGGTATGTTTAGTACGACTAGAACCTGCAGTGACCGTCTCCAGTTCGAAATAGGTCGTCTGAGATCTTGTGGAGTTACCCAGCCTTCAGTCGCCTAATAACGATTGGAATTTCTGCGAGAGAAATCATTGGTAATGTACCAAAGCCGGCGATGTGCTGAAAAAATGTGTGAATCGTGAGCTACAGATTCATTTCGAGCTTCTATCCTATGGTGTTCACTTCGGAACAATAACTATGGTAATTTTCCACTAATGTTACTATTACTGGAGCAATATCCGAGTGCTTAATGATGCAGCCCATCAGGAAGCTAGGTGCTGGTTCGAGCCCGTCCTCAGCACTCTCCTCTAATTCAGGTGAGAACGCCCTAGTTCAGGTATCCTTAAGAGTACAAAGAAAATCGGCTCCATCAGCATTCTACGACACTGCAAAAGAAGATAAAATTCTGAAACCGAGCCGAACCCATATATGGGTATTTCGAAGACCTTTGTGGATGATGAATGCGAGGAAAAGGAATCGAATGCAATCAGTGTTGAGATCCGTGCAATAGATTTGACGACGCGTCATGTAATACTAGTTACCGTTGTTAATGCGAGAAAAACGACCACGGTAATTCTCGATATTGAAAGATCACTGAAATCTAGAGGAGGCATGTAGCGTAGGGGTTACCAGGTGCCCTGCACATGTGATCTTTGTTTCGATCCCGCACCCCGGGTTCACCAGTCTTTTCATCCAACGGGGTTCGCATGACCTTTTTGGGAGGATAGAAGCACGA